ACGCACTCCCCTGAGGGAGGACGAGGATAGCCGGGGCCCGCTGCGGGACACCCCACCTACCTCCTCATTGGGAGGGGGGAACTCAATCTTCCTGTCGATGCGGCCAGGGCGCAGCAGAGCCGAGTCCAGGATGTCAATGCGGTTCGTGGCCATGATCACCTGTATGGGGAGAACAACCGTCACCGCTCTGGGCACCCCACTGCCACCCCAGGGCCAGCAGGACGCGGCCCCATCCCCAGGCAGGGACGGCACCCTCCTACCTTGATGTTTTTGGTGGCCTCAAAGCCATCGAGCTGGTTGAGGAGCTCCAGCATCGTGCGCTGCACCTCGCTGTCCCCGCCAGAGCCCCCCTCCAGGCGGGAGGAGCCAATGGAGTCGATCTCGTCCATGAAGATGATGGAGGGAGCATGTTCCCGGGCCATCACAAACAGCTCCCGCACCATGCGGGCGCCTGCAGGGAGCAGAGAGGGCTGAGCCCTGGCACCGCGCACAGCTCGGCACAGCCGCAGTGCTTCTGTCTGCCCCGGACACCGCGCAAGAGGCCTGTCTCAAGGCCACCCAGCCCCACACCAGCCCTCGCTGGGGCTCGGGCACAAGCAGCTGCCTCCCCCTGCACCCTTTTACCTTCGCCGATGAACTTCTGCACCAGCTCGGAGCCTGAGACGCGGATGAAAGTGCAGTCGGTGTGGTGGGCCACGGCCCTGGCCAGCAAGGTCTTGCCTGTGCCGGGGGGTCCATAGAGCAGCACGCCCTGCAACAGCCACGTGGAGACATCAGCATCGCTGCCAGGCCGGGCTCAGCACCCCTGCCCGTGCCCGCACAGGCAGCCACACCCTGGCAGGAGACACGGGGACGTCCCCAGGGGTGACACAGGCAGCACCGCAGCACCCGCAAACACCGACCCCACCCCACGCCCACAGCAGCAGCACTTGCCTTGGGCTGGGCAATCCCCAGCGCCTCAAAAAGCTCAGGGTGCTTGACCGGCAGCTCGATCACTTCCTTGATCTCCTTTATCTGCTTATCCAACCCCCCGATCATCTCGTAAGTGGAATCCGGAACCTTCTCCACCATCATCAGGGACACGAGAGGGTCCACTTTGTTGGGCAGGATCTTGTGCAGCGTGTAGCTGTCATTGCGCAGGGCCACGCGGCAGTTCGGGGTGACCTGCAGCGAGAGCGGACCACGCGGCAGTTCGGGGTGACCTGCAGCGAGAGCGGAGAGCTCAGCATCCCTGCAGCAAGGAAGCGGGCAGGCAGCACCAGGCTGCCCAGAGGGAGCGGTCACATCCCCTCCCAGAGCCCCAGGACACTCACGTCGTTAATGTCGATGTTCTTGTCCACGTCCACCACAAACTTCCCCTCCGGATGCACCTGGAAGGCAGCAGTTGCCAGTGTGAGAGTTATTTCTCTGAGAAGTCCCCTGTTGTGTGCCCAACATGCACACCGGCTGCTCGGAGCGGGACGAAGGAGCCAGAGAGCTCAGCCAC